GAACACTTTTTTTGTTTTTTGGTTCAATATCCAATCAAAATCATTTACAGCTTTAAATTTCAACTACCAATATTTCATTCACTTTTTAAAATCTGTGTAATAAGTGATGTTTTCCATGACAAAACGATATGCTTCTACCAAAAACAATCATGATCTAAATCGACAACCTTAGCAATATTGATTTCGAAGCTGATCGTATCATGTACATCAGATTTTAACTGCGATCTGTTATAGCTAACGTTGGCGCCATCTAATATTAATGACAAAGTATTTAACTGATACTTCTCATAAGCTTTAAGATGATCCGAAAACTTTGTTTGATCCAAATAGTAATCTCTAGAACCAAAACCCAAACCCAAACTTGGTTGATCTATCTATAATTCACTACCCACACTATTCGAAAAAATTGCAATGAGCAATTTTATTGTGCTGCTGGCAAGAAAAAAATTGAATAACTTTAAAAAGTTGATTGCATTTATGAAACGAATGAAAAAAATTTTAAATGTAAATTTGTTATCAGTTTGAGATTGAATTTATTTTTGAAGTATATTTAATTTTCGTACATATAAAATGTGTTTTGTAGTATCTTTTCCATCAGCGTCAACAAATACGTGAAATAACACGGAAGACTTGAAAGTATTAGTCACTAAGGCTAATGCCTCCGAGATGTTAAACACACACTCATTCCAATTTTCTTCGAGCAATGGCCAATTAGCAATTTTTCGAAACGTATCAATTAACTGCCTGAAAAATTTAATGCAATATGTAAGAATTAAATGCTATCTCAGTATGATTTTATTTTCAATTTGATATAGCTTTTTTCAGTTTATTTTTTAATTTATTTTTGCAATAAATTAGCTTTAAACTGCTACAACGCTGTGTTGATGGCATAAGTGGTGGAATAGATAACCGCAATAATTGAAGTTCTTGATTACAAATAATTAATTACCTTGAAATTCAATAAGCCTAAGCAAGCTTTTTTATCTGTAGTTATTATTTGATTGGAACAGCTTCTAGCTAAATAATGACAAGAAATTTTAAAAGCAAAACTTAATTTGTTTTGACCACTTCAATCTCGTCAACATTCATGCACGCTTTATAAAGAGTTCGAACTGTTTCAAGACTTTTTACTGATAGTGTTTCATTTGATTCCAACAATTCTGAACATTGAAATTAGCAAGATATTATATGCTACAAAAGTCAAACTGGTTTAGATTTATCATTCATTCTGGTTCATCAGTCACATTTACAAGTATATTTTAGCAATTCTATCAAAGTTACCAAAAAAAGTCATCAATTTGTTGCTTACACGAAGTGATCCAATATTTAGTATCTAATACTTATTACTGAACTTTAGGAAAAGACTCTAGTTCATTTTTGAATTTTCAGTGAGGAATTTTATTGTGTTATTGGCCAAAACGAAGTTGAATAACTTCAGAAAGTTCATTGTTTGTTTAACTAAAAAACATTGATATTTAAACTTTTGGAATAACTTTTTTTGAAAAGTAAACAAAAATCAAATATTGTGCTCGAAAAAAGTGCAATTCAAAACATGTAATACTATAATGATGTACATTTTTGGATGATTTATATACTGTTTGAAATTATTCTTTATGCATCTGAAAGCATAAGCCTCAATCAGATTCAAGCAAATTACCTTTGATTTCATTTCTTATTTGACTGTTGACTATATTGAAAATTCCATGGTAAGATTGATTATGCGGGATAGGATTATTGCGAATCCAAAGCCCACAAGCATATTCAAAAAAATCATCACAAGGTTCTACTTCTTTGTTTATTGCTTTCAGCTACAAAAAAAAAAACAAACAACTTATTATTATACACAAATAAGTTACAGTATTCCCAATAAAAATAACACTCATTAATGGCTGTAAGTATCATACTTGACTGGTTATTTTAAAAATAAATTATATTTAAATCGAAATTCAAGAAAAACTTGTCATTTCAATCAGCTTTTAAGCAAAAAAACATTCGCACAACAAAAGTCTAAATCAAATTGACACTTTGTCTTGAAACAAATTCAAATTGAATTGGTACAAATTAAACTGATGTTTATTTTAGTTGAAATTCGAAAAGTAAATATGAACTGGACAATTAATGACATTAATAACTGTCATTACAATGATTACTGACCATAATATGAGTGCTTATGTTTAACAAATAAAATTTATAGTTTGAAAATGAAAAATTAAGTTAAAATATACTCTTGTGCTTGATAAGTTTCATAAAGTAATTAATGAAATGTTACGTGAAAACAAACAATGTTATCAGCGACAGTCTGGCATTCAATTGTTGTGCACAATTGCTGAGTTGAAATGTCCAATAGCGAATTGTTATTAACTGTTGGCTTTTCGATTAATAAATGTTGCCTTTTATCTTCTGAGTTACATCCATTGAAAACTGTGCAGTAAATATGAATATTAGCAATTAATGTAATCTAAGCTCACAATGTTTTGGAACTGATAAAGATGGCTTCACAACATTTTAGTTTTTAGTTTAATATGTAATGATTTGAAGAATAAACGAAAATTTTTGATCTAATAATCTTAAAATTTGGAAGTATGAAAATGAAGATGCAAATGTTGACGTTCACGTGGAATTATAATTTACTGAAAAACTTGCCGCAAGGAATAAAACTCAACAGCCATAAAAATATGACAGATTTACCAGAAAACTGCATTATTTGTTGATATTACTGAAATGATGCAAATAATTTTGGAAAGTAATGATAATAAACTCTGCATTGAAAACAATGGATAACTAAGTAGTAATAAGAAGAAAAGCAATTTGTGCCAAGCAATTATTTAAAGTTAAGAGTTTATTTGACCTCTCTTTTACTTGGTGTCAAAAATTTTTGATGATATAAATGTGATAACATGAGAGAAAAATCATTCTGATAGAATTTTCACTTTTCATCATTGAAAAATAGGATTTTATTCAGTAAATCTTTTATTATTTACTCTGAAATCACAATGTAATTAATATCAAAATCGAAAATTGTGCGAACGGTTACTCAAATCAAGTCATACATTTCACTAGTAGATAAAAGAAATTAAATTTTGAGTTTTTTCAGAATTTATACAAATATCATCACTTTATTGTAATTAATGATAGCTAATAGAGACTGAAACGTGCATTTTCCTGTAGCAAACAAAAAATTTTTCACATTTGTATTGAAAATTTTGTTCGAAACCAGAAATATAAATGTTAACAATACTTGAGTAGAAATACGTTTGCACAAAAAACGAGTAACACTACACTTTTTCGACAAAAGTTGACAACTTTTAGCAATGTCAATTTGTTCTTGTATTTATAGAAAACGTTTACAGAAAGTAAATATATTACTAGAAAATGAAAACAGAAGGCAAAGAAAACAAGAAAGCACTCAACAATTGTAAACATGCAGTCTTTATAAAAAGAAAATTTGAAGCTAGCAAGAAATCCGCAGAATAATTTTGATATACAAAGGCAATAATAAGCAATACGAGTTTCTTTTTTTTTTGGCAAATCTGATATTTACAATAAGTTAGTGAGGATGAAGCAAAAACAGATTAATACCTTAAAAACTGTGAATCTTTGAAAGTTTTTCACGAAAAACAAAAGTTACAAAAAAATAAAATGGCTTTTACAAAAAACAAAACTTCTAAACTACAATAAGAAAAATGAAATGAGGCAGAGAAATGGTTTCAGTAAGAAAATGAATAAATTAGAAAGAGAAGTTCACTGTGGCAATCATCATTACCAATGGTTATCTCACAAAATTATTTTACCTGATTATTTAAGAATGAGAAGCACAAAAAGCACAAAAAGCACAAATAAGAACGTAAGGACTGGATTCAAATAATGTGATTCAATAAGATCAATTCTTAATATCTTCTGAAATTTGCTGGGATTCATTGAAACTGTAAAAATTTCTATCTCGTTAAATCTTCATTAACATTAACATTAAATATGTTAGACATAAGACCAGATTAAGAAAACAGTGACTAGCAAGACGATATATACTTGCGTCCTTCCGAAATCATATCAGTTTCTAGTAAAAATATTTGAGAGAAAAAAATTTATTTTTCTTCGGCAAGAAATTTTTCATTAAAGGCTCTTTTTCAATTTTAAAGGCATTATTTCTTCGCTTGTCAGTTAGCAATTTCTTACAGCATTTCAGAGAATAATTCCACTATGGGAAAAAGCAGATAATTATGTTTTAATTTTAAGTTATGTGTGGAACTATTTATTTCTTCTATGCAACGATATCAGCGACAATTTTCGCAATTCTCGGCACTGCGATTAGCGAAAATGTAAAATCTTTATTATTTATGAAATTTCATGTCATATTTCGCACTGTTTGATGCTTACTTGCGCAAAGAATTATACTAAGTTTTTATGGGAAATGAACTGTTAACTGTGTTTGATATACATGTGAAGATAATTTGAAGAAAAGCGCTATACTGGACTGTCATTTGATGGAACAACTGAATTTCTGAACCTATTTCCCATTTGAAAAAATGCTAGGAAAGATTTATTTTTCCCGCTCTTATTTAGCGAGAACTATTTTTGCTCCTTCTCTTCTCTTATTAGATCAATTTTAAGTGCACGTAATTATTATGTGTACATAAAATTGATCTAATAAGACTGCTTTCTCAATTTAGTTATTTTGTGCAAAAAAAAAACTTTTTAAATAAACAATGAATAGATCAAAATTGCTTGCCATTTCAAAAATGCTGCTTGTTAATTCACGTAAAATCAGATGATTTGTTTTCTGTAGTTGATTACAGAAAACCATAACAGAATACTAACCATTTATTTGAAAGCTTATTATGCGAAACTGAAGAAATTAGCTTGAACTTCAAGCAAGTTGAGCATAATTGCCTGCTATACTTTACAGCACAGAAAACGATTAAAATGGGATATGACCGCAAATGCTATCAGACATTAAATCCATGTAATTCTAGTAAAACTAGCACTTTTCTTTAATGTTGCTTCCATTACATAAACTCTTATGTGCTTAACCTCATTTCTTATTATCGTCGTTGTTATTGAATGGTTTATTCTTTGCATAATAAAATCACTGCAAGTCAGTCAGTGAGTCAGTCATTCGCGTCAAGCGATGCAAATAACTGAACAACTCAACGTGTTAGCTTGGAAGCAGCAAAGCACTCTCAGAAAATTGTTTGTGTCTCACACGCTGGTCGACAGAAATTATCTTCGCAGTGTTACTTTTGCAAGCGAATTTGTGCTTCCTTTGGGATAAAATGTGAGTGTGATTTATGGCTGACTGTGTCTCATTGAGGGACCGTCACAATGGCCACCACACACTTTTCGCTGCCTATCTGCCTCACAAACACAAACATTGCTGATTTGTGTACTTTGTTTTTATGAAAATTATGTGTATGGTTTAACAAGTATGCATTTATTAATTACTTACAGTAATTGTTGAGCGTAAATTATTAGCTGCTTAGCTTGCTCGCAATGAAGCGTCAATCCCTCGACGAGTACTGTGTCATCGGTTTTTGGTACAGTTTAAT